AATTATAATAAAAAATTAAATTAAAGAAATTATTTAAAAAATGAGAACTTCTAAATAGTTGATTTGATACTAATATTGATATATTTTTTTCAAAATTTTATGATATCTTCAAATTTACATTTTATTCAAAAATAAAATCATTATTACTTTCTTAAAAATACATAAAACTGTATTATAACATCGACAGCGTAAAAAATAGAACATTAAAATCGAGATGTATCTCGCTGTATTGCGAAAGTACCCTTCTAGTATAATAATAAAGAATTAGTTTTATTTCTTCACACATTAAGTTTTAGAAAATTCTCTAAATTTAAAGGTTTCTCTAATATAAATGAGTTATATAAATCTGAGCTCCAAGCATGAGTAAAATTTGGGGCCTGTTCAAAAACCAAGATTTAATATGCTAATGAGCGGCTCCGACAACTTATTAACCCATTACGGAATGACATAATACTTTGATCTAACGTTGTTCAAAATTAAGAAAAAAAAAAAAATAAACGAATGAGAAGGAAAATAAAGAAAAAAGATTATTTATGTTCATGAGAGCGAAGGTAAAGAAAGTAAAATGAACCAAAGAAAATAAAATTTTATGTTCTTAAATAGGAGAGAAGAAAATTAAAGATGTCAATTTTACAAATATACTCTTATTTATTTTACAGCAGATGTAATTGATAGATATAAATATAATTTTATTAATTTTTTATAATTATTACTATTTTCTTCCTTTCATTTCCTCCTATATTTGGAAAGAAAATTAACATTATTTTCTTTTATTTTTTATTCCTTTATATTCTAAAAAAAACTCAAACCTTTTCTTTCCTTATCCAAAACCAAAGTGTAAATGTTTAAAATATTACAATTAAATTATGAAAATAAATATTTAAAAAACGTTATATTAAGTAAGAGTTGAACAAACTTAGATTCCATATGAGTTGCGATTTATCCTAAAAAGTAATACAAGAAAAGAAATAAATGGAGGTTACATTACTAAAAGCCGTTACAAATACAAGATAGTCTTGTTTTTGGGGCTCACTCTCCATACATACATACATACATACATGTATATATATATGAGAGAGATTGAAGAATCTTGCAAAAGTTGCAGAAACGCACTTCTTAAATGATACTTTCTACTTCCATTATATGAAGATTGGTCCAAAAAGACATGTCTTTGAAGGTCATACCCTTGTGCGTTTCTGCCACTTACCCTCATTCTCAATCTCAATCTCAATCTCAATCTCAATTGGGTATCTCATATTTTCTTCAAAAGAACCATACAAATCTTCTTTTCAGGATTAATCCTGCTGCATTGACTGCAAAATTGGGTCGAAGTAAAACCCATGTGGAAGGTTCCAAGCCTGCTGTGAGACCTTCTGATTTTGCTTTAAATTCAGCAAATGATGACACCCAGATCATTAAAGATTTGAACTCTCTCCCAAGTGAGTTGACTCAGTTATATCATAAATCATTCTAGGGTTTCTTTTTGCTTGAATTTGTGCTTTGGAAAAGATACAAGTCAATTGCATTTCATTCCTCAAAATCTAATATAAAAGATTGATGATGGTTTTGTCTTGTTTAACTCATTCATCTTTTGTTTGCTTCAAATTTCAAGAATGATATATGCTATTTTCTAACTTCCAAATGAAAAATAATTTTGCTTTTGCTGTCAATCAGGCCAATATTGATTTCAAAATTGCATGAGTCGTCTGAGTTTCTTATAAAGAAGTTGATAACTACTATTTATAGAAATTAGAAAATTGATGTGTTCAATCCCGAACAAATCCATATTATATATATATATATATATATATATATATGGATGAAGGATCATGTTAGAATATGAATTAAGATGAGAAACATAAGAAGAAATCTGTATCCTGACACTTTTACTCTCATCCTCACCCCGTAAATTACGTTTATCACCGGAATTGATCTGGTGCATCTCGGTGTACACCACATTAGTGTTGATGTTCAATTAGAATTTTGATATCCAGGGATGAAAATCCCTTGTTACCCTTCTCAAACCTAACCCCCTCTCTCTCTCTATATATATATATATATGTAAGTATTGTGTGTTTGATATCAGATGCTGGAAAAGGAAACTTTTAAGAGGCATTTGTGTTGTTTTGGTTGTGTTCTTGTAGATTTTGCAGAGTTCTATATTTTTTGAAAGTTGTTCTTTATCAGTACATTTTTAGATTCTTTTTATAACCTAAATTGGCAAAACTTATTTGATTAATAATATTACACACACACACACACATATATATATATATATGTATGTATGTATAATCACAATGGCAATGCGTATTAGCAGACAAATGGCTGTGTTTCTTGTTCTTTTGCCACTTTGTTTTACAGATGATGATATACGTAGCAGTTTTGTTGGTCCTGTTGAACTACTTCCAACATGGGTTTGTAATGTGTATGCTTTTGGGGTTTTGCAATACGCCAATTATTTGCACCTATGTATATATTGAGGCAAGTTCAAATGAGAATGGTAAATATTTTGAGAATTTAGGAATCAACTATTCATGAAGATAAATATTCATGATGAATAATGAAAATACATAATATTCAACATAAGTAAATATTCATGAATCTTTTAGAGTTATTCATCATGAATAATTCATGAAATAGTTCTTTCCAAGTTTTCAAAATATTTAAGGTTCTCATTTGAACCTGTCCATGTATGTATGTGTATATATATATATATATATATATATATATCATTTGTGATACATGATGATAGATATAGTAGAGAAGTGCTGATTTGCTAGAACTAATTTCTATGATGTATATGGATTAGTTAACATGATGATGATACTTAAAAACGCGATCACACAAAGATCATAAAACATTCCCATTTTTGCATATGCATTTAACACGTTTCCTTAGTCAATTCATGTTGAATACAATCTAAACGATACATGTTTTGATTGCAGAACCTTTATCTACAACCGATATTGTCTCTAATGGTAGTGATGGCTCAAAGGTCCGAGTTGCTTACAAGGTAATTGTTACAATCTTCAATCATAGATCTTGTGAATTATGTGAGAAAAGGAAGGTTGGCTCTTTTATAAGAACTCAGTAAATTCCACATAGAGGTAGGATCTGGGGGTAGGATGCACACAGACGTTGCCTCTATCTCAAGGGGTAGAAAGGTCTTTTACGTGATGACCCCTCGCTTACAAAACTAAATTTTGAAGGAACGAGCAAGTGTACCGGTGAGAACGTATATATGCAAAGAAGCAACGAGTATAGTTAACAAAAAATGCTTTAAGGATAGATGTGAGGGAAGTAGGTTAAACAAACAAGGAAAACACAAAGCCTAATACTGACACCTACCAATATCGTCGTTCAAATTGTCTTGTGTAATCATTTTCCATAAAGTTTTGATCCACAAAGTTGGCCCAAATCAATTAGCCTATCGAAAAATAATGCGCTATATTCATATGTAAAAAAGTTATAGACATTGTCTTTATGCTTGTATGTTGTTGTTGGGTAACATAGGGTGCACCTGGAGCGCATAGTGAGGCCGCTGCTCTTAAAGCGTATCCAAAATGTGAGACGGTCCCATGTGAAGAGTTTGAATCTGTATTTAAGGTATTCAATCTGTTTTTATTTTGTATTTTTTAACAAGTGTGTGATTACTTACTAGTTTAGTATGCTCAATATGCATACGATTTTTCAGCAAGTCGAGTTGTCGTTAGTGGATAAAGTCGTACTTCCAATTGAATCATCCATTGGTGGAAGTGTTCATCGAAATTATGATCTTTTCCTTCGTTATAAGTTGCATATTGTAGGAGAAGTGCAACTCAACATTGATCATTGCCTCCTCGGATTGCCAGGAGTTCAAATGGAGGAACTAGTGTGTGTTTTAAGCCACCCTCAGGTTCGTGCAACATGATCGCCTTTAATTTATTTTCTACCTGGAAAAACCCAAAAAGTTGAGCCTAGAATATCCAATTTGGATAAGACGTACAAACTCGTTCTCTACCATAAAGAGTAGAGCGGTTGTTTCCATCTTTATTTGGTGAATTTCAAATCTTTAGTTTTCAACATAATGAAAGATTAAGGGGTTGTTTACCAACACTGACTAGGTAAGCACTTACCACCACCCTCATTTACCTGAACGGTAAGATTGGTGGTAAACACCATCGTCTTTTACCCTCATTCATAGGTAAGATTCTTGGTTAACAAAATGATACTGTAAGATTGTTAATATGGAAAGTGAAGCATAGAAGTTAATACTAAATTATTTTGATAATACAGGCGCTTGATCAATGTAAGATCATGTTGAATAAGTTGAATGTCGTTAAAGTTAATACTCAAGACACTGCTGGTGCAGCTCAAGTAACCTCTTAAAGTCTATTTCATACGTTATGTATGCTTTCACTTTGTCCATTTTGCAATTTACTTTTAAGTTTTTTTAAACAGATTATAGCCTCTAAAGGCTCACGAGACACTGGAGCTATTGCGAGTTCACGAGCAGCGAAGATTTATGGGCTCGACATTCTCTCAAACAAAATCCAGGTTTGATGGATTTAATTTCTTTTGTTTCTTCGACATAAATGTGTTGTTTGTAATGCTTGATGTTTTTCTGGTGATACTATTCTTTAGCATCACAAAACATACAAACAAACCAAACGAGCCATTATATCGCACATAGGAGTGGAATCTAGGAAGGTTAAGATGTATGCACATGTAACCTCTACCCCAAAGAAAGTATCACAAAAGACATAAACTAAACCAAACAAGCCCAATATATCGCACTCAGAGGTGGGGTCAGGGAAGTGTATGCAGACCTTGACCTCTACCCCTAACAACAGCATCATAAACCTAACAAAACGAGCCAAGTATATCCCATCTAGAGGTAGGGTCTGAGAAGTGTAAGATGAGGATGACCTAACCTCTACTCTAAACAAATAGTATTACAAAACACACAAACCAAACCAAACAAACCTAGAGGTGGGGTCTGGGAACGGTAAGATATATCCAGACGTGACGTCTACCCCAGCCGGTAGTAACACACAAAGATGTTGTAATTCTTGAAGTTGATGTTAAAATTGTGATTATTCTATGTGTCTTGTTTTCATTCATTTCTTTGACCAGGATGATCCGGATAACATCACTCGTTTTTTAATTCTAGCGAGGGAACCTATAATCCCAGGGACCGTCAAACCCCATAAGGTAAAGATCATTTTATTTATCTTGTCAAATGTATTCTTTAAAGTGTATTAATGATGATGATTTTGTTTTTCTTAAGACAAGCATTGTCTTTACATTAGAAGAAGGCTCGGGAGTACTGGTCAAAGCGTTAGCAGCGTTTGCTCTTAGGGACATCAATATATCGAAGGTGAATTCTTTTTAAGAGTTTATATATTCAATATCAAACACTTGACTCGTATTCATGTACAGATCGAAAGTCGTCCACTAACAAAGTGCCCCCTCAGAATTGTTGATGATGGCAACAACGGGAGTGCCAAGTGAGTTCACTTACCTGATTCATAGAAATTTGTATTCCTTCTTGAATAGGCTAGATTTGGACTTTCTACTCAATATATGTTGGAACCCCTTATTCTCTAACGAGTAATCTGATGAGGTCCCACATATATTATGATGGTAGAAGAGCCAAGGTAAATATATGTTGGAACCCCCCATTATCTCCTTAAAGAATGAGTAATCTGATGAGGTCTCACATATATTAACATGGTAGCAGAATCAAAGTCTTATCATCTATCTACCACTTAGCCTATTTTGGATGGTGGGGGTGGGGCATGCACAATGGGGACATTTTCTCGTCAATGCATGTGGAACCCCCTTCTGTCTTTAGGGGCTATTTTAGGAAGTAATTTGATAGGATTCCACATATCCTAACATACCTGTATGTCACGGTCACGCTCGTTTCTTCCATGAACTCCTTTACATTTGATTTAATCGCCACAGGTACTTTGATTATTTCTTCTACATTGATTTTGAAGCATCAATGGCAGAGCCACGTGCCCAATATGCTCTCAGTCATCTACAGGTTGGTTTTCCGTAGTTTATATCATATATTATTTTTTATCAGATATTCAATTATCAAGTCGCAATCTTTTTCCTTTTAAAACCAGTATGAGAACTTAATACTTCATTAATAAGTTATATAAATTATGTTCTAAAGAATACCATCTTTTCAAGTTTGTAATAATCAATTTTGGGGCAGAGATATACTTAAGGAATATGAGTAATGAACCCCTCATGAGGTATACAAAAATGAAACATAACATGTTTGACTTTTAGGTCAAACATAAGAGCTTAAGATTGATGTGAAATCATTGTTTTTAAAGAAAATCATTGATGATCATATTGAAACCTTGTAACCTAATCGAACGAGAAATGTTCGATATGAACTTTAGTTTATAATTCAAACCAAATAAGACAAAACTAAACTCGAGAAGTTGTATGCTTAATTCTATAAAGTCAAAAGTAGTCCTTTTTTGGGACATAAGACATATTATTTTACATCTTATACATGGGTCGTTTGGTTGTGTTTCCACTAAGTTTCATACATTAAGTCATCCATATTGAATAAACTATGTAAATGATGTAAATGACCATTTAACCCCCTTATTGTTTGGTAATTTTTTTTCATTAGATCAAACTCGATATCAATTCATATCTATAAACTCGAAATGGTATATCATATTCACGAAACAAGCAGATAAATATGATGTTCTTCCACAATAATCAACTTAAGGGTACCAAAAGTAACAAGAACAAAACACAAGATTCAAGAAAATAATACACACCCATTAAAAAATCTTAGGGACTGTAATTCTGGAGGAGATATAAAGGACTGGATAAAACTCAAGAATCGTGTCGGATAACACTTTCCAAATACAATAATTCGACCCTATTAGCCTTGGATTCACGATTTTCGTATTGGAATAATTCTTGAGATTATTCTCACTTTCAAAGACTGTGAAAACAAGATATATATATATATATATATATATACACCTAGATTCTCGTTTTACATATTTAAATTAGAGATCGACGGTTATTGGCGGTTTAATGGTTATAACCGTTAATGGATAAGCAGTTACAACAGACTCTGGAATTCTGAAAGCAACAGGTTCACCGATAGGCTGAAGACACGTTCAGCAATAGCTGAATACTTGTTCAACAATAGTTGAATACTTGTTCAGTGATAAGCTGAAGACTATTCAGCGACAACTGATACGTGATGTTAAAGGGACTCCACCTCTAGGACCCCGTAAGGATATCGGTTTATAACGATCTAAGGTGATAAGGGAAACATTTGTAAGTGTGTACTTCGCACCTCCTAACTTACGTATGTTTGCCTCATCGTCTTAATCGATCTCAGAGTAAATCACAATTACACCAAAATGCTTGATGACACTAAAATCACCAACATTTACATCTAAAAAAATAGCAGCATTCTAGGTATGATTCAAAACCAAACTAATGACTTGTTCTCTATAATTCTTGCAGGAATTTTCTAGCTTTCTTCGGGTTCTTGGTTGCTATCCTGTAGATGAGTGTTCTTGAGGATTTCATCAACATACATGATTAGGTCTTTCAACTGTTCATCCTGCACGTGCACGTGCATGCACACACATACACAATACTTATGCCATCAATAGAACCAATATACAGAAACTACCCCTAAAGAACTTAGTAAACTTAATGTAGCAATCGGATTTCGATTGAAAATTATGAACTGTAGTTTAATTACCATATCCATTAGAAACAATTATTGAATATTAATGCAAAGCTTCAAGAAAAGCTTTGACAGTTGATTCTCCAAAAGAAGAATGGGTTTAGTTCAAGACTCTTGTGCATGTTTGTCTTGTGCATTCATCGCTTAGCATCCCAAATTTTCCCATCCCATTCATGTCGACCAATCACGTTAATATACAATCTATAGATAGAATAAAAATACCAATTATTAATATATGAAATAAAATAATTATGAGTTTTTGTGTGATCACAACATATTTTTATCCTGGGATAACCACAAAGATATATTTATCTTACCATAAAAATGACTATTCCTCAATTAGTTTATAAGACCACATTTTTCTCATAACATTTCTATAAGATGCAAAAACTTATGTTCTTTATTTCATGTTTTGCCTTATAAATGATTGAATTATGACAAATGATTTTTGGAAAGAAACATGCACAAGAATATATTGCTCAACTTTAATATTGTAACCGTAGGTATACAGGCATGTCCTCAAGTTAATAGACTAAACGAGTGACCATTTAGGAGCAAACCCGAATTCTTACTAAATGAGCTAATCCCTATGGGGGCATTTGGTTCATGGAATTCAAAAGAATTTGATGAATTGGAATGACAAGTTCTTTTGAACAAATTCCTTGACGATGTTTGATTCACATATTGAATTGATTGGATTTCTTCAAATTCCATGGTTGAGGGATTTGATCATTCATCGGCATAAGTGAATGAATTGAAATGCATTCCTTGGCGAATGGAACATATTATATAATTTGGTTTCAAAAAGACAAAAATAACTATTGCATCCAATTTAACCAATACCGCTCTCCCCTCATCCAGCAACACCTACTCCCTCCGCCACCACTACTAATGGCAATTAATATTATCACTCCACCCCCACCCCCACCCCCAGACACCCCACCCTATCACCTCATCCACCAATCCCTACCCAACTCAGCCGACAATCACATCGCCACCACCGTCCTTGTCACAACCGTCATCCACGGTCCACCCCCACCCACCACCGATACCAACACGACATGACCGTCGTCATCATGGTCGGATCCAGTTTACGGGATAGGGGCACATGCCCTCAACCAAAAGTCATAAAAGTTTGATTTGTTATTTTTTTTAAAATCCCAATTCTCATATTTATTCTAGCCTTCTTCCGTTAATGCCTCCAACATTCTTCTATTGGTGCCCCGACCCATTCATTCCTTTCAGTGTCGTAATCTTAACAATTGTTAGTGTTTTTTTTATATATAAGACATACCGTTCTTTTTGGAATATTTTTAATTTTGTTATATTATGCGTTCTTTGTTGTCTTTAGTGGTGACTTACTAAGGATTTGCAAATAACTTAAAAAGTGAATAACCCAAAAATGTTTATCATGAACCTCATTCGGTTCGGATGGGTTCGACATAGGATTTTTTTAAACCCCTTAAACTGTGATCCCGATCACATGACATTTTGGATCCGCCACTGGTCATCCTCATAGCCGTCACCCCAACATCGCCACTACCATCAATAAATATTATCATTACATTGTATCTATAGTTTAAACAAAGAAGTATTAAAATGTGATAAAGGGTATTTTCATCATTTATTGTTATTTCATTTCTAAGGCTACATTCTGCCAAACTAACATGCAAATTCCAATTCTTTGGTGAGATTATATTCCAATTCCTGTCAACCAAACACGTGGTCATATTCCATTCCAATTACTTCGAAGTCGAATTCCTTCGAAGGATTCCAGTTCCACCAAATTCCATATGTGAATCAAACAATTCCTACGGGTTGTATAATTCTCTTTAATAAAAAGAAAGAAAGATTTAACAATACATGTGTTTTTAAGTGTATAGATTAAAAGAAGAAGACAATTATCTTGTCAAAAGTCTTGAATCAAACTTCAAAATTATACTAATATTGACAAGTTTTTCTTATGGATTTAACCTAATGGGTAAGAAGATGGACATCCTTACATAATACAACTTGTAAGACTTTGCCTGATCATGACTATCTATCATCTTTATACTTGATGAGTTCATGGTTTCAATCATACATAAACTAATCATACCGAAAAGTGTATATGAAATAAATGGATCCTGGAATGAACCCTTTGAGGGTATCGATTGCATTGACACTATATGTATAGAATTAGAGAGTATACATGCTTAATAAGGGATATGCACTAACTATGGAAGGATGATCACTATCCTAAGGAAATGATTCATATAAATCATTTATGACTATTACACCCCCACAGTCTCAACGAGAGGATCTCACACATTTAGGTTATAAAAAAGCGATCAATAAGTAGAATGGTAGTTGCTTGTGAAGATATTGACATATTGGAATTTAGAAGGAACATATAAACACATAAGACATCAATCTGGGCCTTTTGCCTAAACAAAATGAATATGAAGTTCCACATGCTTGATGTGTTGGTGTTGCAGTGGGTTTCTTGACAGGTAGATGGCATATACATTGTTGCATTAAATGAACATAACATTTTAGATGAGTACATACGGTTCAAGCAAGAGATTCCTAAGACGACTAGTTTTGGTGACCGTCTTTGCAACTCTGAGATTTTCAAATTTATTGCTTGATCACGAGACTATCTTTTGGTGCTTGGAGGTCTAGAATACCAAGTTATTGTTGAGGTAAACATAGTAGTTGGAGATCAAACGACATGAAGCTGGACAACCCCCAATTGGTGTTAGAATATGCGACCAAGGAGTTAGATCAAGAAATGTTGAAACGCAAACCATGGTCAAGAGTCCCCTTAATCTATAGTCGTATTTTAGGTCACACTGATGTCGAGAAAGTGATATAATGCTCTATGATCGGACATAGTGAACTTATGAGAGAGTGCGTTCATTACACTTTGAAGTAGGGTGACATTATTGGCAGTGAGAAAAATATCATCAACATAAAGCAACAAGAAAATCGTACCATTCCTTAATGGAATATGAGCAAAGAAGTATTGCACATGTTGCATCTAAATTCCATGGATGTGACAAACATAGAGAATATCAGCAGGTGGTGATTGTTTTCGACCATATAGCATAAAGGGAATCAACAAACCTAAACAGATCCAGCCGGATCAAATAACCCTAACGGTGAATCAAAGAACTAGGCATGGGAATGAGACTAGCCCTACTAGAACCTATGTATCCGCCATGATGGGGTCGAGGATTCCCTGCAAGACCGGTGATCGAGGATGGGGATCCTCGAAAGTTAAAAGCCGGTGATGTGGACGGGGCCGTGTAATGTGATCCTTGTCCCCGTATATTAAATATATTATATATTTATTACTAAATAGATTGTATATCTATTATTAAATATATTATTTATAAATAATTAGATTTAAAAATAGTATTTTGATCTTTTTTTCTTAGATACATTTTTTCTGACTTGTCTTACATTATGTATGATATGGTAATTTTGTTCACATATGCATATATGATACTCCGTAAAAGAAACTTTTAGGAAATATGTGAGATTTAAACTTGGACCATTATCGATCGAGTATAGTGTTTAACACATTTCACTAAAAATATCTCACATAAACGAGGAAAAAATCCATGATTCCTTGTTGGGGATGGGGATATAATGCATATTTCTTAGCAAGGACAGGGATGGACGGAGATTGGGATCGGGGACGGAGATTGGGATGGGGATTGGGGGTCCCCATCCCATTCCCATCCCTACAAAGAACCCCAACAAGGTCACATGAAGAAAAATGTTATTAACATCTAGTTGATATATGAGCCATGACTACGATACTTCCAAGGCACCAACGGTGGATGCATATACATGGCTGGTGGTTGGTTTAACAATGGACTAATGTTTCTTCATAGTTAATCCCAAACTGTTGTGTTTTCTATGGAATACAAGTTGCACCTTGTATATGTGCAAATAGCCATCCTATTAAACATGTGGCAGAATAACCACATGCAATGGATTATCATTACGTCATGAAGATGTGAAACCAAAGGCGAATTCTTATTGGTCTACAAAACATTGTATTAGCGTTTCATGGTAGCCTTTTAGTTTGGGTTTCTGAGAGCTTGTGTTATGGAGGTACATGGGATATGGGTAGATTAGGTGGTTATATAGAGTTTGAGAAATTGGTAGAGTTTTAATATCTCATGCATAATGTAGGTTGTCATGAAGTAGGTTGGTAGTGTTGGGTAGTACCATTGTGGGTTGGCTTGCGGGTAAAAGGTTTCCATTGCTAGGCTGTTGATTTTAGGTAGGAGGGCGTTGGGGTGGTGGGTTGGTGTGGCAAGGTATGGTTTGAGAGATTCAAGAGGGGTTGGGTGATCATGATTGAGGCTAAACCAAATACGAGTAAGAGCATTGGTCAAAACTAGGGGTTAGAAAAGTGTAGGGAAATGGATTTTGGGGGGATCGCTCAGCATAAGGAAAGACGGTCTCAGAACACTCGTAGCCTCGGAATTAAGATAGGAAGCCTAAAAACAAGCATTAGGTAGAACTGAGGGGGATAGAGTTTATGAGGTCATTTTCCTAGTTGATTTGGATAACATGCATGTCTAAAGGTTGGAAGGTGGTTGCAGGAGTGTTCTTTGAGAAAGAGAGCGGAAGTTGGGAAGTGAAAGCTCAATATTTTTATATGTGAAAATGTTAGTGATTGTATAGATGGCAGGAAGAGATAAAAGTTAGGCTCTTGGGTGACCTACACAGCTATGCTAGACTTCTAATGAGAAGACAACAAGACTTTGGGGTTAAGCCTGCTGGTGGGTTAGAATGGGTAAAGTTCTCATTAATATGACTATAGAAT